ATGCTGGTATCCTCTATTCTTCCATCTCCTTATCCTCTTCTGTGTAGTTCTGTGGGTTCTGTCCCTCAGGCTGCCAATTTACTGAACCCTTGTCATCCTCTCTTTACTGCCTCTCCTCAGCTGTCACTACTCAATGAGACTTACCCATTGGTAGCTGTAGATAATATTCTCTAAGAGTCTATAAGGAATCCTCTAAATTGTCTTGTCTAAGGAATTTCCTCAGTTTCTTTTTTGTTGTTGTTGTTGTTGTTATTTTTGTTTTTGTATTTTGAGACAGGGTTTCTCTATATAGTTTTGGAGCCTGTCCTGGAACTCACTCTGTAGACCAGTCTGGCCTCAAACTCACAGAGTTAAAGGCATGCGCCACTACCGACCAGCTAGTCCTTAGTTTTTATCCTCTAGTATATGATGCTGTTGATGACCACTTTCCTGTGCTCTTCCTCTTTATGTGTGAGGTATCCTGCCCTTCCTAATGGCTCCTCTGCAGCTCCTCAGTTTGAGCTCTGTGACAGTCTCTTAGACACATCCATCCTAAGAGTAAAAACATGACTTCCTATGGAAAGTCTGCTAATTTACCACTAATTGTAGATTTAATATAATCTTATTTGTGTTTTAGGAATGTTAGGACTCACTCTAAAATTTACATGAAAAGACAGAGGACCTAAAGTAGATTCCAAAAAAAAAATGTTTTGAAAGGAAAATTAAGTAAAAGAGCCACTGTTTCCCATACATTATGTGGCTGTAGCAGTGAGGAACAAGCAGTGGTGCAGGAAAACAGATTGTAGCGTGTGATGTAGAGCCCAGAAACAGTACATATCACCAGGTCAGTTGGTGTTGTCAGAGCACAAACCAGTAGGGAAACATAGCCTGATAAAATAGTATAGAGCAGCTGAACATCTATGGTTCTGCAAGGTTCTGCTTGTGGCCTATTCATCATAGACTCTTCTCTGTGTTCTGGGTTAGGTTTGTGTTCCATGGCAAGAACTGACTTTGGTTGCAGGGGAGAGGGTCTGTCTTGCTGTAGTCATTTTGGTAAAAAGCATTCCTCTGACAGGCACATCTTCATGCTTTGAGGGTGAGACCCACCCACAGACACTGAGTATTTAACCTGTGTCTTGGAATTAGAGATAGAGATCAGTGGTAGAGTGCTTAGCAGGTGCAAGGCCCTAGGTCTAATCCCCAGCCCAACCAATCAATAATGTGTATTTATAAACAAAGACTCACATTTCAGGGGGGTGGGAGTAGGGATGTGCACATGTGTGTGCTAAGGTAGAGGAGGGTGTCGGGTCTCCCTGTTCCATTGAAGCAGCCTCTTTGAACCTGGACTTGTAGCCAACAAGCTCCAGTGATCATCTGTGTCCCTCACTCTCATTGTTAGAGTTGTAGTCATGCATGGGACCAGCTTGTTTCATGGGTTCTAGAATCCAAACTCTTCATGTTTGCGTAGCAGGCTCCTAACTGTTGACCCATCTTTCCAGCCTTCGTTTATGTGTTTTGTTTTGTTTTTGGCTTTGTTTTTTTTAATTTATGGTTTTTCAAGAACTTGCTTTGTAGACCAGGGTGGTCATCTGCCTCTGCCTCCCAAATGCTGGGATTAAAGGTGTGCATCACCACGCCCGGCTCATTTATGTGTTCTTTAACGCAAGTAGTTAACTGATGTCCAGTAGCTTTCTGTTTTCCTGCCTAATTTGCACTATGTTATATCATATAGATTCCTCTTTCACCCAGCTCATGCCTGACATCCATTCATGTGACCCTTTTCTTTGAAATGCAAGTGGGTCTTTTCTGTTTGTTTTTTTTTTTTCCCCTGCAGGCAAATGCTGGTGCTAGGGATGTATTTGCTAGGAACCAAATGAAATAGTGGAGGAGGCTCAGTTCTCAGTAAGGGAGGAAGAGTCTGGAGAGAGAAGGGGTATTCTGTAGCTGTAGTGGGGAAGTGATCGTTACGGACTCCTGTGGGCACAGTTGTAATGGACGGAGAGTCAGAAGCTGGGGACAGGCAGTAGTAGTAGGTTGAGTCTGTGAGTCAGCATGGAGGGAGCAGTGGGATACTATTGGCTCAGGAAGCCAGCTGGAAACTGGATAAGGTGGTGAGAGTTGAGAAGCAGTCACACTGGCTCTTGACAAGGCTAATTAATAAGCCTGTTTTTCTTTTGATATAGGTGGCTATTATCATGGAAAACTAATTTTTCCCAGAGAATTTCCATTTAAACCTCCAAGTATTTACATGATAACCCCCAATGGAAGGTTTAAGTGCAACACAAGGTAAGCTTCCTGGTGACGCAGTGCTTTGAGCTGTCTGTGGTCTTGAGAAATGTACATTCTTCCTTACAAAAGTCATTCTTTTTCAGACTGTGTCTCTCCATCACAGACTTCCACCCAGATACATGGAATCCGGCGTGGTCTGTCTCCACCATTTTAACAGGGCTTCTGAGCTTCATGGTAGAGAAGGGCCCAACCCTGGGCAGCATAGAGACATCGGACTTCACGGTGAGGTGTGGCAGCGCCTCGCCCGGGGCCTTGTGGTTCTGCCCTGTTCCTGTAGAAATCTCTGCTTTGACTGCCTCAGAACATGGCCCATGGCCTCACTGCCCATCTCTGTCTCCAGCTCTGCTTTTGTCCTTGCTAAGAATCCCTGACTCCTGTACTCCTCAGGAGACTTTGTAAGACTTGAGAGGGGCTGCACAGCATCTGTTCCCTGCTCGTTTCAGTTCTCTTTAGATGATAGGAATCATGATCGTGTGATGTTAATTGATAACAAAAAGATAAATAAGCCTTCATAAGACAATTTTGAGAAGAGAAAGCATTTTTGGTGCTTTCTATAATTCTTGACTCTGCAGGAGTCTGTTTTGAGGTTTTGTTTTGTTTGCCATTAGGGTCTCATTATTAGCTTATGGTGGTCTGGAACTCACTATGTAGGACAGGCTGTTACTGAATCTGTAGTGTTCCTCTTACCTCGGCCTCCTGAATGCTGGGATTACAGGTGTGCACCACCATATCTGCCTCTTTTTTAAAAATTTTATTTATTTATTTACCCCCAGACAGGGCTTCTCCACATAACTGCTCTGGTTGTCCTGGATTTCCCTTTGTAGACCAGGCTAGCCTCAAACTCAGAGAGATCCACCTACCTCTTCTAGGATTAAAGGCATGCACTGCCCAGCAAGAGCTGCTGCTGCTGCTGCTGCCTCCTCCTCCTCCTCCTCCTCCTCCTCCTCTTCTTCTTCTTCTTCTTCTTCTTCTTCTTATTATTATTATTATTTTTATTAGCTGGGCAGTACTGGTGTACGCCTTTAATCCCAGCTCTTGGGAGGCAGAGGCAAGTGGATCTCTGGGTTTGAGGACAGCCTGGTCTACAGAGTGAGTTACAGGACAGCCAGGACTACACAGAAAAATCCTGCCTCAAAAAACAGAACAACAGAAAAATTAAAATTAGCTTCCTGGCTGATATTTCCCTTCTCTTTCTTCCTAGAAAAGACAGCTGGCAGCACAGAGTTTAGTGTTTAATTTAAAAGATAAAGTCTTTTGTGAATTATTTCCCGAAGTTGTGGAGGTAAGAAAGCAAAAGTTGGAACTCAGTTTTTGTCTTCCCCTATGTTAAAAACACTTATGATTTAATTGTTTCCAAAGAAAATCTGTGTCTCTGTGCCTACTGCTGTTTCCCTGTAGAGGAATTGCAGCCCTCCATGTTGCTGCAGGACGTAGAGGGGTCTGTGTTGGCTATGCCTCCACATTTTTGGGTGACAGAGCTGGCTCTTCTCCAGAACCTTACAGTGTAGGAAAGACAGAGCCCAGGGATGGGGGAGACCCTGAGAGACATGTATAAGTGTTGGGGATGAGTCTGTCCTTACAAAGGCATGAAAATTGCCAATCAGTGGCCATTCCTCAGGTGACCATGTACCCCAGCAATGGCTAGGAGGTACATGGGTATGTACTATGCCATGTGGAGTTAAGTGATCCCTGATTTGGCCTGGAGTTGAGACCATGACAGTGAGCAGAAGCACCAGACTGGACAGTGGTGTAATACTTGATATCTCATTGTTATTCCTGGTGCAGGCACAGAATAGTAATTTTGATATCTTGTATTTTTTTTACCTGTAAAGTTGGGACCAGGAACTATCCTCTATTGGGTTAGGATCTGCTGCAGGGGAATGCAGACCTGTGTTCTGGGGTTCATTAAAAACTCGAGTGCTGCTTCCAAAGGAATAGGATTTTAAGACAACTGAGGGTTCTTGTGTTTTTTCTCTCAGGAAATTAAACAGAAACAGAAAGCACAAGATGAACTAAGTAGCAGGCCCCAGAACCTTCCCTTGCCAGATGTAGTTCCTGATGGGGAGATGCACCGTGGCCAGAATGGGATCCAGCTCCTCAATGGGCATGCACCTGCTGCCGGCCCGAACCTCGCTGGGCTCCCACAGGCCAACAGGCATCATGGACTCCTGGGCGGCGCTTTGGCGAACTTGTTTGTTATAGTTGGGTTTGCGGCCTTTGCCTACACGGTCAAGTATGTGCTGAGAAGCATAGCACAGGAGTGAGGCTCAAGAGCCGCAGTCGACAGTTGCTGCTGAGGGACGCAGGGGCCAGAGCTTGATGCAAGCGGAATGGACATGCTGCTGAGCACAGGATGGCCTGCTGGACTCCTGGGCTTCACTTTTTAAAAACCTTAAAAAGAAGCAAAAACCAAAATGTGTGATTTGGAGATTGGAGGTTCTTACCTCCCTCCAGAGGCTGATGTGGACAAGGGCCACTCACGCTTTGGTTTTATTGCTTATCTCCTGTGTTGTCTTTTGGACCTGTTTAGTAAACCTGGTTTTTTGTTTTGTTTTCCATTTTATTAGATTTTGTCACTTAAAAATATAAAACTTTAATGCCTATCAAATAAATACTCTGTGTGTGTTCTTAGTGGAGGAGCTGAAGGCTCCACGATGGCGCCAGTGCTGCAGACCTCCAGTGGGGCTGAGCGGACTGGCTGGTAACGCCCCAGTTGGGGTCTAGGAGAGAATGATTTGGTCTTGATGTAAAACTCTGCTTACGAATGGGAAAAAGTACTTTTAGAAAATGCTTGTTCTGTTCTTGTTAAGGTAGAAGAGTCAGCTTGCTCTCCCTGACCACAAACAGTGGCTGAGGACTACAGTGAAGGCTTAGGTGGGTGGGGGGTGGTCCTGATATTACTGCCAACCTAAATACCTGTCCCTTCTTGCTGTTTCTTTGAGTGAAAAGTTTTAGTTTTTAAATGCTTGACTCCTTTATGCCCAACATCTTACCTTTTTAATGTTTGTGTTTGATGTATCTGCAGTAGTTGTGTGGAAAGCTGACATTTGTAAGGTACCAAATGGAGGCAGTGACATTGTATAGGACATCAGTCATCACCAGGGGACCCAAAGAGACTCCTAAACCAACCTCATTTTAGAGACCAGTGGTGAAGCTGAAGTGTAACCTGTGTGATCATTTTATAATTTGCAATTAGTATATGCCCTCTCCTGAAAAGGTCTTAGTTATACCTTCATTCTTAAATGCCATGCTGCCTGTGTTAATGTTCTTCCCTGGTAGACTGAGCAAGAGTCACGCCTGGCTTGGGGGAAGGGTATGTCACTGTTGCCAAAAGGTGGATTGATAATCCGTGGCTGGGCCTGGGCCTGTTAAACCTACGGCTGTTGGCTGAGGTGTGTCTTTGCACAGCAATGGTGGCGGTAGGTGGAGCCCTATAGACTTCTTCCTTTAGTACTAGACCTTAGTTCTTCCCTGGTTGTGTAGTACTCTGTTGCACCTGGGTAACTGTTTAACATCAGTTCCAAAGTCTCCTTGTTTCCTGAAGTTCTTATAAGGCAGAATGTTAGTTTACTTAACATGTAGTGTTCTCTGTATGTGAAATCTTTATTTTTTCTGAGACAGGGTTTCTTAGTGTAGCCGTGGCTGTCCTGGAACTCACTCTGTAGATCAGGCTGTCCTCAGGCCCAGAGATCTGCCTGCCTCTATCTCCTGAGAACTGGCACCACCACTTCTTGGCTGAAATCTCAATTCTTGGCAGCCCAGAATGAAAGAAAATCTTAGTGCTGTTCTTAAAGTAGAAGTAAGAAGTCAACCTATTCTCTGACCACAAGGTGTCGCACTTAGTGTAGCAGTTGCTGCTGAGAAGGCTTGGTAGGTTAGCCCCAAGACTTTGCCCTTCTAGCTCCTTTGAGTGCTAGAGAACCCTGTGTCCACTGGGTTCTTGCACTGACCCCAAATAAAAGATGGCCTTTGTTCCATTGGATCAAGCATGTCTAGCCCTGTGTGTGTGTTGCCCTTCTTGGCAGCAGTCACTGGTGGGGCCAGTTGGCATCCTGGACTGGTACAGGTGAGAAGCCTCTCCCAAAGCTCGTGTCCTATTGATATTTAGGGAGAGGTACCTTGGAAGGAAACATCTCAGCTCTGCTACCTCTTGTTCCTCTCCTGAGAAAAAAACAATTCCCGGGCAACCTTTGGGAATTTCTTTTTTAATAGGATTTCATGTAGCTCAGGCTGGCCTGAATTTACTATGTAACAGAGGCTGGCCTTGAATTCTCTGTCTGCCTCCTAGGTACTGGGATTATAGGTCTGACTGATCTTTGGAAATTTTATTATAGAATGGGTAAGAGGGAGCAATCTCCTTGTATAGTGAGCCCATAGATTCCTGTCAAGCTGTTTTCTCCAGGGCTTGGTTGAGAGCCAGAAGTTGCCTTGGTCATCTTGGTCAGGGTTTTTGTAAACCAAAGTAGAATTCTTTTGGTTATTTTCCAAGTTGTTTGTGGCAGGGAGATATTGAAGCCATAAAATGAAGTCCTTACTGTGGTATCCCTGTGACAGGCCAAGTCTTGCTTCCTAGTCTACCTGCTTATGAACTGCAAGGCAGAGTTGGGATCCCATTGCCAGTCACACTGAGAAGGGTTAGGCCACTAGGGTATAGGTGAACCAGGAGAGCAGCGTGCTGCATCTGATGAGGGGGTCCCTTGCCCTCCCCCAACCCTGAGCTTTGACCCTGGCCATAGAGGCTGTCTTTCTTGACATACAGGTATATACTAGGTATGGGTCATTGCAGGTTTGAGTGCTGATACTTCCTCATCATCCAGAGTAATCTCACCAATAAATATAAGGGCCAAAGGCGCTTTTGAGGGCTTGAGGCATTGACAATATGTGTGAAACACTTTTAAGATTAACTTCTGCTGTTCCTGGAGATGACGATTTGCCTGGGAGCTGGAAACATGAGGGATAGGCACTTCCTTTACATTCCCCTACTCTAGTTTTGTTAGGCTTTTCTGACTGGTTGTGACCTGGAGCTGGGTTTGCTTGCTTGGCCACCTTTCACCTTTTTTTGGTGTGGGAGTTGAGGGGGCTCTATTCTAGAACATTCTGTTCTGATTACCAGGACCCAAACCCACTGGAACCAGTGTGTGTTGGGGATGCAGCTCCTGTTTCTTTATAGAGCAGTTAGATCCACTGGCTGTGACTGTTCTTAGCCACAGCTTTTACCAGTGGGAGATCATCTGGCTATTAGTAATCCTGGTCCAGTCTCACAAGGGCCACTACCTCATAGTCACTGAGGTGAAGATACCATTGACTTGGCTTGGCCTCAGCTGACCAACTTGCAGCCTGAAGGTGATTCAGAAGACCTCTTCCTCTGGGAACCTGCCACTGTATCACAAGTACTAGAGGGGGAAATTCCACTGGTCAGAGTGACCTGTGCCTGTGCTAACTTCTTAGGAGAGAGGCCTGGGGACAGACGGTAGAGGTTGACCCCATGACTGGTGTAGACAAGTTAGACCAGAGCCTCTACTTGCTCTGCTTCTGCAGAGATCAGCCTGGTAGGCCTCATGTAAGTAGAGGAGAACCACTGGCTGGGAGGGGCAGGCAACCAGGTGGTGGAGATGCTCTCCTCCAGTGCCCTGTGTTGGGGGTTTAGAGTAGGGGCTGCATCTGGTGAATGAGTTGTGTGTGAGATTTGTAGAAAGCTTCCTAAAGTGAATGAATTACTTGGGATTCACTGCCCTGAAGGTATGAAAGATGCCACAGAGTCGATGCTGACAGCACCCCTACCTCCACCCCTAGCTTAACTAAATAAAAATTTTGCTGAAAAGAGGCCAGGGAACTGTTTGTGCAGGGGACATGCAGCCCTGCTCCTCCTCCCTACTTCTTTAAAAGGGGTGATTGAATCACTGGTCACGGGGGTCCCGCCCTTGCACTGCTCCGCCTTCCAGGCAGTGGATGAGCCCTGTGTGAACCCTCCCCTTGGAGCCTGAGAGGCTTAGAAAGGAGGGAGGGCTCATTTGGTGTTGGGGCACCGGCAAGGGTACTATGCAGGAGGGGAGACTGGAGGAGACGATAGTTCTCTGCTGTGCTCTGGCTCATCCTGCAGACATGCACCAGCGGCAACCGGGCTCGTTTTTGGGCCTCGCCCCCGCGCAGGGGCTTTGAATGCGGCCGCCCCCATGAGAACACTGGCCCGGTCTCCCATCCCTAAGCCTTTGCCTGTGGAAACCGAGCCATGTGGGCCTGGGCTTGGGCCACAGCAGCCCTCCTCTGGCTGCAGACTGCAGGAGCGGGGTCACGGCAGGAACCCAAAAGGACTCAGCAGCTGGCCATTCGTGTGGAGTCCCCTAATATTACCACACCCAACCACGAGGGATTGCCAGGCTCCTTCAAGGTAGGTGCGTGCTGGGACGCATGTGGGCGCGTGAGTACAGCTTCAAAGCTTAGATTGTCCCCCTACCTCAACAGCTCTGCTCCTTTTCTTCTTGGGGAAGAACCTGAGCTCTGCCTGAGACCTTGACTGCTGGTCCTGGCTTAGAGTTTGCTGCAGACAGCACAAGGGCTGGCCTGTGGGGAGCTCCCCTCTACCATGCCTGGTGGGGCTACAGTTAACTGTTTGAAGCCTCAGGATGCTTTTCAGTAATCTGATGCCATTAGGTATAATTGCTGTGTCAGGTGAGGGTGGGGGAAGGACTTTAGCAGACTGGTAAATGGGGCACCTGGTGTAGGCGACAGCCTGACTAGGCTGTCCCCTGTGCTTTCCAGGGATCCTGTGGTAGTCCCATCTGCTGTGGCTTCTTGCATGCAAGAACGCGCCCTGTTCTTTGAGTCCTCTACGGACAGGGATCTCTCCTGAGCATTAGTCTCAAAGCCTCTACTGCTGCCATCCTAGGGGCCCCCAGGACTGGAAAGGAAACAGCCTACTCAAACAGGAACCTCTGGCTCTGAATCTTTGACCCTTGCATCTCACTTTCCTAGGGTGTCTCTCTGTTGGCCAGTTTGGTTGCCTCTCAGCCCACATCAACCCATCTCAAGCCTGAGGCCCCATTTTCCTAATAAGTTGAGCAGAACTGAGGGAGTGTAAGCCATACACTGGTTCCTGGGCAAGCAAAAGGGAGAGTGTGGCCCCTTACAGTGGGAGTTCCCGCGGGTGTTCGGTCCTAAGTAGTCCTCATTAGATACGAAGGAAGAGAGGTGGTGGCAGTTTTTTCTGCCCTGCCCAGGCTTGTCCTTTCAGAGATAGGGCAGTTGACAGTTTGGGAAGACATTAGCAGTGGTGGGGCCTCTGTGAACTTCCCTCCAGGTTTCCCTGTTTGTGCTGGGGGTGGTCTTGTTCTACATTTCCCTGCAGCCTTTGCCCCTGGTTTAGCTGTGTGTGACCCTTAGTTCCAAGGGTTCACACAGATCTGGATAGAGAATTATGGTGTATTCAGATGTTCTTGTCTTTGTTCCTGGGTGAGAGTTTGCCTGTCCTTCCTAACATCAGGTTCTTGCTTTTTCAGAGGCAGCAGACCTTCCCTTGCCTACCCCCATCCCCTACCCATGGGGACATCCAGGTTTTGATCAACAGGGATGGTCCCTTCGGACTGTGGCTTGAGTTCTGCTGTGATATCTTCCTGTGTACCCAAATCCCTCCCAACTAACCTGTAGTTCCTAAATATCTTTGGATATGTCAGGACAGAGACCAAGGGCCTGGTAGTCAATACACTAGCCTTGCTTCTCTGGATTTTCAGCCACTAGGGGCCTCTGGTCCTGAACTCTCAGATGCCCACATGACATGGCTGAACTTTGTCCGCCGGCCAGATGATGGGGCCTCTAGGAAACGGTGCCGTGGACGGAATAAGAAGTTGGTAAGCCCCTGAGCTGCTGTGGAACCCACCTTTCTGGGTTCCTTTCAAGTTCTAAGCCCAGGGAAAGGGGTAATTAGGGGTCCTACTTAGATTCACTTTCTTTTACCTCTTCTAGCGAGGCCTCTCGGGTCTCCCAGGGCCCCCGGGACCCCCTGGCCCTCCTGGTCCTCCTGGTTCCCCTGGTATGGACGTCACCCCAGAGGTCCTGCTGCAGGAATTTCAGGAGATGCTGAAAGGTAAGACTGTCCTGCACCCTACCTCTTTCAGAAGCCAGGAGGCTCTTTCAAGGCTAGAAGGGGCCTGACCCAAAGTGGCCCTCCCCACAGAGGCCACGAAACTTCGATTCTCAGGGCTACCAGATACATTGTTACCCCAAGAACCCAACCATCAGCTGGTGGTTGAGGCCTTCCACTGCCGCTTGAAAGGTCCTGTGCTGGTGGACAAGAAGACACTGGTGGAGCTGCAAGGATTCCAGACTGTGAGTGGGGACCTGGGCCAAAGTAGTCCTTTTATCTTTGGGGCTTATGTACCAAGGAGATGGGATATAGAGGTGGGCACCTACTGGCAAGATGGGCCCACAGCCATCACTGGACAGTTGGTGGACACATGCCTGTATTGGTTCCTAGAGATACTATTGTAGAGGATAAAGGCCAACGTTTGTCAAAGTTAGGAGTTCGAATGTTCCTCACCTTATACTAAGTCAGAAGAGGGGCCTAGAGTTGCCACTTCCTGTGATAGCTTTTGGGGTCCTGTTTACCCACTGGAACCTAGAACCTTTGCTCTAAGGCCCACGTGGGTATCGACACACAGATCAGGCCTGTCCTTTCCACAGAGAGAATGTGGCCCAGAAAAGACCCATATGGGGTTGGGCTATAGCTACTTCCCTTGGTTATAGTATTTATGGTGAGGGTCCAGTTCCTGAAATCCAGCCAGTCACCTCCTAATCTCTACAGCCTACTGCCCAGGGTGCCTTCCTGCGGGGATCTGGCCTGAGCCTGGCCTTGGGCCGATTCACAGCACCAGTCTCTGCCATCTTCCAGTTTTCTACCAGCCTGCACATTGGTAAGCCAGCTTGTGTGTGTAGTATGGGTTTTGGGTAGGTTATCCCTTGGTGATGGGTACCTTAGAGATGCCATCCACCCTCCTCCCTGGCAGACACTTGAGTCTGTTCTAGGCAGTGTCCAGAAGGCCCCCTACCTACTGCTCTCTCCACAGACCACAGTGAGCTACAGGGCAGAGGCCGGTTGCGTTCCCGGGACACTATCCGTGTCCTCATCTGTATTGAGTCTCTGTGCCATCAACACACGTGAGTGAGTCCTGCTGCCCACAATGGTCCTCTGGGGTCTGTCCTTGGACTGAGATCAAAAGTAGTCACCTTGAGGGATATCTGAGCACCATGGGCCAGTGGCCCCTACACTGTTGCCCTGTGGTGCTATGCCTAGGTCCCTGGAGGCTGTATCAGGCCTGGAGAGCAACAGCAAGGTCTTCACAGTGCAGGTTCAGGGGCTGTTGCAGCTACAGGTAAGGGTGTAGGCTCAGGGAACAGGCGGGTGGGCTTCTAGCCTGGGAGGGTTTTACAGCCTTGTGCAAGTAGTTGCTCAGGACCTCTGAATCCTTGTGCCTAGGATGGTGCTGGTCTTTGTATGGGTGGTCTTTCAACTGTTGGAAGTATTGCCTCCAAATGCTATCCCCATGGGTGGGTAAACTTCTGGGCAGGGGCTACCCACTTGTAATGATGCCCACTGTAAATGTCTTCAGTCTGGACAGTATGTCTCCGTGTTCGTGGACAACAGTTCTGGGGCAGTCCTCACCATCCAGAACAGCTCCAGTTTCTCTGGACTGCTTTTGGGTACATAGAGAAGCTGAAGAAACGATGATTGGGGGGCCAGCGCCTTGCATCTTAGAGGAACTACAAAGGACTGCTCCCCAATTAATAACTGTCATAACAATAAAGAGCTCCAGATTTCTCCATCACTCTTGGGTGCTATCTGGTTATTGTGTTTGTACGGGAGATGTACAGCAAGCAGAAGATCCCAGAGCAGAGTGTAGCCACAAAGAGGGGCCAGAGTGAAATATCCTCACAAGGTCTCTAGATGGATTTCCAGCCAGTGAGCGGGAGGAGGGGGGAAAGCCAGCAAAGTTTCTTCATGAACTGGAGACTGAGTTGACCTTGAGGCAGAGACAGGTGACCTCTGAGTTTGAGGCCAGCCTGGTTTACAAAGTGAGCCTCAAGACAGCCAGGGATACACACAGAAACCCTGTCTCAAAAAAAAAAAAAAAACAAAAAAAACCCAAAAATTCAAAAGTTCAAATTTTGGGGGGCTGGAGAGATGGCTCAGAGGTTAAGAGCACTGACTGCTCTTCCAGAGGTCCTGAGTTCAATTCCCAGCAACCACATGGTGGCTCACAACCATCCATAATGAGATCTGGTGTCCTCTTCTGGTGTGTGGGCATCCATTCTGGCAGAACACTATATACATAATACATTTTAAAAAAAGAGTTCAAAATTTCTCTAAAATATCCAAGACCTCATAATTGTGGGTTTCTGTAAAATCAAAAAGCAAGTTAAATACTTTGTTATTTCAAGAGAAAAGAATTAGGGTACAGTCACAGTCAAAGCAAAAACAAAGTCCAGGGGTATAAAAAGTTCAGTGCTTCATGTCTGGGAAGGGTCTTGGCAATCCCCCTTCTGGTTTTGCCGTCCATAGCACATGCGGCTTGTTCCACAGGCTCAGGCTGGCTTGCACACCAGTTGCTGTCTGTGGTGATCATCCTGTGGCCCTGGCACCTCCAGAATGCTGGGTTCTCTGCTGCAGTTGACCCGTACCTCATTAGCAGCCTCTCCTGGGCTCTCCTCAACCTCTCTCCATGACCCTTCATGCCTTCAAAACCAATATCACCTGGCGAAACTCTTATATATTACCAAGTTCTGCTTTTGGGATCAGAGCTTCTGTGTGCTGATTCTGAGGAAATACTTTCAAAAAGGTTTTCCCTCAGTAATGGTGGTCTCTTAATCACAACTAATTCTTTAGCCCCAGCTGACCTGTATCAGTTATCCCAGTGAGGAAAGATTTCAATTTAGTGTTAATAACAGCCCTAGCTAACCAGACCACAGATTCTTAATTCAAAATAGCAAATAGCTCTGATAATAGGCTTAAGGGATGCTCAAACTTCCCTCTGAAACTTACAAGCCAGATATCTTCATCATCTGTATTGCTCCTAATATTATCTTGTGAGTTATGGTAGCTCACTAAGCTTAGAGCACTTAGTGGCTTTTCTAGCCCCAAGTTCCAAAGTCCTTCCACAGTCTTCCCTAAAACACATGGTCAAGTCTGACACAGAATATCACACTCACAGCTCCAATTTCTGCCTTAGGGCATTGATTGCTCTGATGAAACACTATAGCCAAAAGAAAATTGAAGAGGAAGGGGTTTATTCCAGCTTAAAAGTCTCAGACCACACTCCATCACTGAGGGTAGTCGGGGCAGAAACTCGAGGCAGGGAATTAAGCATAGGCCATGGAAGAGTGCTGCTGGTTGACTTGTTCCTTGTGGTTTGCTCAGCCTGCTATTTTTTTTTTAAAGCAGGATCTCTCTGTGTAGCATTGACTGTCAGAACTCTGTGTAGAACCAGCTGACCTCAAATTCAGAGAAAGATCTGCCTGCCTCTGCCTCCCAAGTGTTGGAACTGAAGGTGTGTGCCACCAAATTTGGCCGGGCCAATCTTACGAAGACCTTTTCTCAATCGAGATCCTCTCATTTAACTCTAACCTTTGTCAAATTGACATAAACAAAAAGGAGAAAAACAAAAACTAGTCAGCACAAGGGCCCTATGAGGCCTGCCCTCTATGAGGAGGGGCCCACAAACTGTTGGGGTTGCTGACGGGAACAAGGCTATGTAAGCAGCATACAAGGCTGCCCACGTCTTAGGTGTGCCGAGTTGGAGAGTGCCTGCAAACCCAAGTGTGATTAAAACAAAGTTTGGGCTAGGGAAGCCTGTCCAGGGTAAGGCAGGAGTTCCCTTTCTTGCTACTTCACTCAGTGAAGGCCACCACTCCCTGAAGATCAGAGCCCATAGCTGGTATGCAGGGCAGACCTAGCAGCCCATCCACTGCAGTCCTCAAGGTAGGAATCAATGATTAATGAGAGCCCTCTATCCCTGCACTACTTTGGCTCTGGCAAACTCCTGCCAAAGAATATAAATTAGCTTCAGGGTGTCCCAGCCTGTTGAGTTTCTAAGATACCATCTCTAGTTGGCACCTGGGCCATCAAAAGGTGGTGCTAAGCTTTCGGCTCCTGACTTTTCTCCAGACAAAACCTTTGAGATGAGGAATCTGCTCACAGGTCTGTGGGCAGTCTCTCACCCAAGGCCTTGACTGTCCTTGAGGTACCATAGGAGGGCCCTTCCTTGGGGTCTTGCTGAGCAGCGAGGCAGATCAAGCCAGGCACTGAGGTGCTGTGGGTGGCGCCAGTCTGTGTGGTAATAGGCTTGGCCACTGACCCATCCCCACCTTTCTTCTAGACCCTCACTCCCAACCCTCACTGTGGCGTCAGGGCGGGGGCTGTCTGGAGAGGTCTGCGTTTCACATGACTGCAGCTTCCATGCTTGCTACTTTGATGGGGGATGGCGCAAAGCATGCTAGGGTCCATATGGAGCATAAGCAGGGTCCCTATTGAGTAAATAGAAAGGGGCCCAAGTGTGGAAGGAGTGACTGTCCTCCCACTTGCCAATTACCAAGATCCTGACAGGCCTGAGAGTCCAGGTCAGATTAAAATATCCGGGCTTCGGGAGCCCTCTTTTTTTTCCTGCTCTCTGTAACCTTGTTAGGCAGCCTACCTGCTGGATCAAGAACTCTCTAGTTTTCCTTCCAGAGCCCCAGCCCTTTGGACTGGGGCATCAATGCATTCTCATCCTAGGAGGAGCAGGGCCTCCATCCACTCTGGCAGGGAAATAGTTATGCACACAGAGTGACTTTTCAGGGCATATCAGTGGAGATACTGATACTAAGGGCCAAGGTTCTGTGAGAAGCAAAGGAGGGACTAGGAAGGAGGTGGGACAGAAGTATGGTTTGGTTATCTACCCCTCTGCAGATCCATAAACATCTCATTTACATTATTAGGGTTTTCAGGGGCTGCTTCTCTGCATGGCTAGGCCTGTAATTTCTCTGCTCCACTAATAGCAGCTATTACCCTGTGCAGATCAGACTGAGGCTCGAAGCCAACAACCCAGTATGGTGGGCAGCACCAGCCAGACTCTCCTGAACCACATATAGGGCCTCCCTGCCCAAGGTAAGGGTCTCACAGCTTTGTTCTTTGGTCTTGTTGGCTGCTGCAGGGTCTGTGATGCCCAGGATGGAGACTCACAGAATGGAACTTAGGGCCCCACAAAAAGACAGATGGAGATGAGCGATGAGGAGACACTGATCGGGGGCCAGCCCCACACAGCAATGCCTGGGCAGGTGGCCAGGATCAGGGTGGGCCTTGTCTCTGCGCCTGACTCCACCTGCGTCTATCTGTCTGCTCTTTCTCCCCATTCCTGCCCCTAATCGGAGGTCATTAGCCACTTACCTGTAATTTCCTTGGAATGTGCTGTCTCCAGATGAGCCCCAGTGACTGGGGGCCCAAGAGCAAGTGAGTGGGTGTCTCGGGTATAGTGGAAGGCTCCAACGTGGGCAGAAAATCCCATGCAACCTGCCCAAAAGACAAGCAGCCAGGCTTTTTGCTTGTACCCAGCTATATCTCATGGTTTTCTCAAGTCTCACATGGTATTAGGCTCTGATATCTCAGAGATACATGGAAGACAACCTAGCATGGTTGCCCAGCCTGAGTGTGGCATGCTACGGAAAACAGACTGTATACAACTGCTGTAATATTCAGGTGCGGGCTACCTTGAGGGTCTCAAGAGTGGGGAGAGCTCAGGGGAAGGTAATTTATTTTCTCTTACATTCTCCCATTTTGAACTGATTTATAAAGTGGCCCGTGCGTCTAGATACAAAGATGTCCCCATCTTTGGCTGGGGACAAAGAAAGCATGGGCATCGCTATGCTGGGCAGCCTTGGTTTGCTCCTGATCCCAAACCGTTGTTTTAGAGCAGCTGGAGGTGCTGACTGGCCTTGCTAGCCCCTTTGGTAGGCTGACTTCACACAAGCGCAGTCTGACACTTGGGCCTTCCCGGCTGGGACTTAGAGCTAGGGTCTGAGCCACTACAAAGGGCTCCTGACTGTCCTGGAAGGTCATATCCAACATAGAAATGCTTGATCTGAAACCTTTCCTGAATCTGATCTTGGGTCATAGCCTGGTTAGACCTGGCCAGCGCCTCCCAGGATCAGTGTCCAATACTCAGTGTTGGAAGTACGCTGTTTTGTATCCTTGGCACCCTGTCCTGGGCTTAAGCACAAATAAGAATATGGTTCTCATGCCCAGGATGGCTAGAGAGTCCTCTTATGGTGCATCTCAAGCTAGGAGTTGGAAGGGTTAGGCAGGGATGGGGGCTTCTGGCCATGAACAAGGCTAAGCCTCTAAGACCTACGTTTTAGGTGTTGCATAGCTTTGACGGTTCCAATCCCCACATATACCCACCATGTGCTCTGCTTTGGGGGTTTGACATACAGAAGAGGCCTGCTCATACTGGCCTTATAATATATAGCCAGGCAGGCTTGGCTTTTGAGTGGGTCTACTCTAAGGGCCCCTTGGGTAACTTGCCACCTGCTGGGCAGTCCAGTTTATATATTCTGCAGAGAACCAGGAGTACCTGGCTGGCATGTGGGGAGTCTCTCTGGAGGGGCACCTCTCTCACGTCTATGTATACTGGGGCACTTATATAGGCAACACAATGTCTGTATAGGTGATATCAAGAGCCTGTGAGTGTGCCCTGCTATGTTCCCACAGAGGTACCCTGAATGTGCACATGTTTGTAGCGGAGGGAAAGGGGTATCTGTGTACCCGGGGATCTCTGCTCTGGATCCAGGAAGAGCC